TTCAAATATTTTTTCTAAACCACTGATGTCAAGGCAGATTGTACTTATTTATAATTGACGAGTATATATTGTTGCAGTATACCTTCTTCATGAATGATCTTTCCCTGCTTTATTATGTTTGCCATGAGATGTTTGTGTACTTTATCATGATTGCCATGAGATGTTTGTCTACTTTATTATGTTTGCCATGAGAGGTTTGCATGCTTTAAGATATTTGTAATGAGAGGTTTGTCTACTTGATCATGTTTGCAACGAGAGGTTTAACAACTTTATCATAGTTGACATGAGAGGTTTAAGTTTGTAAGATAAACTATTTAAACATATTTTAGCAATTTTTATTGTGAAATATGGCTGATTAATGAAGACAATAAGCTTAAGTATAATGAAAGAAATACAATTAAAGAATATGCAATGCATGTGTTAAACATTAACAGAAAAATAAATATAAATCTTAAGACAAAAACAAATAAGTACTATTTTTCTTAGGTCAATAAAACAGTTATCTAGATCAAGCAGGTACATGAAATACAAAACCCCAGATCATGCAGATTAAGTTTAATATATTTACCTTTACTATAATAAAATTCGGGCTTTGGAAATATAATAGTTTATACACGTTTACAGTACAATTGACACTTTATTATATTTAATTAAATTGAATGTTCTTATCAAGTGAACGTTCTGCACCTTTATAGAACTTCGTAGAATCTTGCACAAATGATAGCTTTTTTATGATCATATAATTTTTATACGTAAATCGATCAACAAGAAGGTAAACGTAATACAAAACCCTAGATCACGCATTGCAAGGAAGTTTGGTATATTAACCTTTACATTATTAAATTCTGGCTATGGAAATATAATAGTTTATACATGTGTTTACAGTACAAGTGTCACTTGATTATATTTTCATCCAGTGAACATACGTTTTTTTAAAATTGAAACTGAGACAAATGGAAAGCTATGTTAAAGATCAACGCTTAATTACAGTAATTGTCATAATGTAATAATTAAACGAGTTTTATGAACAACTGTGTTATAGCTGAAATGATGCAAATTTATAAAAACAAATATCAATATAATCTAGTATTACATGTTGACATGTACAATTAAGATTTGTTTATTTTGTGCCAACAATTAAATGTTCATATATATTTACTTTTGTATGCATGCGACATTCAAAATTCTTTTACAAAAGATCTTTGTTGATATCTAGATAAACACTTTGTATTCATAAAGTTTAAAATTAGGAAAAAGATACCCATCATAATTGCTTCTTTTATCCCCAGGTAATTTGCAAAGACCATGTTATAAGATTATAGTTACTATTATAACAATAGACAGGGTAGTGGTCTACATGGTCTAAGTGGATATAACATAAAAAATGTTATCTAAAAATAAATCAGAGTTTCTAAAGAAGTTAAATAAAAATATATGCATGTACATATATATTGTTTAAATTGTAAATTAAAATCTCTCGTCGTAATACAAAACTTTGTAGCATGCACACAAAGACTGATATATGTTTTCTTAAATCAATCGAAGTTAAGGCCCAAGTTATATATATAGTCATTTGATATTATTATTATCTATAACGAAAATAACATGATCAATATTGTAAAGGTTCCAATAGTGTTTGAAAACGTTTCTGAAATAAGTAAATGTTTTCAATCGATTAAAGTCTCAAAACAAATAAGTCACCAGGGGTGGATCAAATTCTTAACGAGCATATGAAAAATTCTATCGGCTTGATGTTAAAAATTTATAAAAAACTTTTTAATATTATTTTTGATAAAGGTGTTATTCCTGAGAGCTGGACTATAGGACATATTAAACCTATATATAAAAATAAAGGGAATGTTAAATTACCTGAAAATTATCGTCCAATATCACTTTTAAGTTGCTTTGGAAAACTCTTCACATGTATAATAAATCAAAGGTTGAATAAATTTGCTGATAGCACGAATCTTATACATGAAACACAAGCAGGGTTTAGAAAAAACTTTTCTACTGTTGATAATATTTTTATTCTAAAATGTCTAATCGATATTGTACAATCCAATAGGAAAAAACTTTATTGTTGTTTCGTTGATTTTAAACAGGCCTTTGATTCCGTGTGGAGGGTTGGATTATGGCAAAAATTGAGACAAAATAATATAAATGGAAAATGTTTTAATGTCATTAAAAGTCTTTATAATAACATTAAATCGCGAGTGGTAACTTCTGAAGGATTGTACGCCTTTTTTTCGACTGTCTTGTTGGGTACGTCAAGGGGAAAACATGTCTCCTTTTTTATTCTCAGTTTTCTTGAATGACCTTGAAAGCTATCTTAATAGTAGTGGTGTAAATGGAGTTTCTAGAGAAGCTTTTGTTGAAGGGGTGCGGGTTTATTTGAAACTTTTTATTTTTACTTTACGCTGACGACACCGTCATATTCAGTGATAATGAAGAAGATCTTCAAATTGCTTTAAATAAATTCAAAGAATACTGCGATCAATGGAAATTAAACATTAATGTAAACAAAACAAAAATTATGATTTTCAGTAAAGGCCGTCCTAAAAGTTGTAAAGTGTTTACAATAGGAGAAAACGTTCTTGAAGTTGTAAATGAATATAAATATTTAGGTATATACTTTAATAAAAGTGGCTCTTTTTATAAATCTAAAATTGCAATTGCAGAACAAGCAAATAAAGCTATGTTTGCATTGTTTAAGGAAAATTAAATTGTTAGCTTTACCGTTTGATTTACAAATTGAACTATTTTGAAAAGACAATCAAACCAATTTTATTATATGGAATGAAATTTGGGGATTTGGCGATGTTTCTGTTTTGGAAAAAGTTCAAACTGAAGTTTTACAAATATATTTTTAATTTAAAAAAGTCTACACCGTCTTATATGGTGTACGGAGAGACAGGCATTTTTCCTTTAAAAATTCATATTAAAAATAAGGTTGTATCATACTGGACAAGACTTATTGATAATATAAATAGTAATGAAACAGCAAAACTATCATCAAAGTTGTATATTGTTTTAAGGGAACTACAAAATAATTATTTAGTTAAGTCACTCTGGATAGAAAAGGTTAAACAATATTTATGTGAGACAGGTTTTTCTGGAATATGGTATGCTCAATGTTTTAGCAGTAGTAAATGGCTTATTAAAGCAAACTTTCAAAAGTTAAAAGATATCTATATTCAAAGCTGGAGAGCTGAAATTAACAATACGTCAGACTCAAATTTGTATAAATATATAAAAGAAAACTTTTGTAGAAGCGCTTACATAGACACATTACCTCTGTATTTTGCTAGGAAATTTTTTATGTTTTTAACAAGGAACCATCGACTTCCAATTGAAACGGGACGTTGGCAAAACATACCCATAAACGATCGTAAATGCACTCTTTGTAAGAGATATAGGAGATGAATTTCATTACATTTTTAAATGTCCAATATTTGGAAAACGAAAGAAGAAAATATATAGATAATTTTTACCGACAAAGACCAAGTATGTTTAAATTCATAGAACTATTAAACTGTAGAAATATGAAGAAATTAGAAAATTTAAGTATCTGTTGTAATAAAATTATGCAATATTTTGTTTTTTCTTGATTATTCTCTATGTTACATATATTGTCTATGTTATGTACACTGTAGATTAAGGTATTGGTAGATGAAATATGTCAACATACTAATATACCATGTTTATGTATTAGATATTAATGATTTCTGTTTAAAACAGTATATTCTGTAATTTTATTCACATAGTTCACATAGGATGTTTATGAAAGGTTCACTAAAACTTATATGTCACATTGTGAAACATTAAAATACTACATTTTTTAGAAAATTTAGAATATTTACTCTTCTTCTGAAATGACATTACTGACAAAAATGCTCTTTATGCTGCAAATATATTGCATTATTTTCATTTTCTTGTGTATCATGAAAGAGTTAAGTTTATATTGTTAAATATACAAAATTAAGAATTATATATTGACTAAAGCATATAAATATATTTATTTATTTGGCATTTGAATTATTTAAAAGAAAATTTGTTTCTTTGTTATACGTACTTAATATAAGTCTCTCTCTATCTTTCATAAAAAGGTTGAAATTATGCAACATGTAATCAATCACCTTTGTTGAAATTTGAAAAGTATAATATCTTAAGATATTTGAAATACTATGTCATCTCGGCTATATGTATAATATATATAATTTCACACTTTTACATTAAGTATTAAATTACAATCTTTATGCTATAAGTACGTTTCGCACATTTTATTTTTCTCTCAAGCAAATCTAAGATTCAAATATGAAACTTTCTGTTTCATTACAAAACAATTGATACTGAAATGAATGTTAAATTGTTAGAAACCTATTTATAACCTGGATATCTTTCGTGTTTGTTTTTTTCGATAGGCTTTCGTTTCGTTTTGTTCAGGTTATTATGAAAGGTGTAAACATTCTATTTGATCCATTAGTCATACTAAATATTTTACTATAATATATATTTTTTCTCACCAAATTGTAACTATATATTACTATTATCCTAAAAAATTTTAATGTAATATAGCCGTTTTCCATTATGTATTTGTATATGTTTATGTATGTATACTGCTGATGTTTCCCGCTATTGTGGGACTTGTGCATTTTGTTAATAAATTGATTGATATAATCATTATTTCTTCGCTTTTACATGCAATCAGTACGTGTTGCAACTTATCAATATCCTTGTACAATAGATACAAACAACTATTAGCATGTCCAAATTGCTAGAAATCGCCATTCAGACAGATATTCAAATGTATCTTTTTTCGTGAAATATACTCCTTACTGAACAAAAGAGTTGATGTTTATTCTTTAAGGAAAAGTTTCCAAATAACGTTTAACTTGCAGGAGCCTATAAACTGGTTAAAGCTTTGTACATGAAGATATTATTTAAATTCAAGATATCGATAACCCGACAACATGGCGGTTTGCGTACCCCGTAGGCGCTCCTTTTTGTGCCCCCACGTTAGTGGCGGGCATTTAGATTTACCCTTGTCCGTCCGTCCTTCCGTCCGTCCGTCCGTCTGTCCGTCCGTCCTTCCGTCCGTCCTTCCGTCCGTCCGTTCACTTTTGTGTCGCACGTAACTCAAAAAGTATTTGACCTAGAGTCATGAAACTTGACAGGAATGTTGATCAGCATGTGTAGTTGTGCACCTGGGTATTTTCGTCTGGACATTTTTAGTATTTTCAGAGTTATTGCCCTTGACTTAGTAAAATTTTGCAATTTTCAACTTGTGTCGCATGTAACTCAAAAAGTTTTTGACCTAGAGTCATGAAACTTTACAGGAATGTTGATCAGCATGTGTAGTTGTGCACCTGGGTATTTTCATGTGGATATTTTTAGTATTTTCAGAGTTATTGCCCTTGACTTAGTAAAATTTTGCAATTTTTAACTTGTGTCTCACGTAACTCAAAAAGAATTTGACCTAGAGTCATGAAACTTTACAGGAATGTTGATCAGCATGTGTAGTTGTGCACCTGGGTATTTTCGTCTGGATATTTTTAGTATTTTCAGAGTTATTGCCCTTGACTTAGTAAAATTTTGCAATTTTCAACTTGTGCCGCATGTAACTCAAAAAATTTTTGTCCTAGAGTCATGAAACTTTACAGGAATGTTGATCAGCATGTGTAGTTGTGCACCTGGGTATTTTCATGTGGATATTTTTAGTATTTTCAGAGTTATTGCCCTTGACTTAGTAAAATTTTGCAATTTTCAACTTGTGTCGCACGTAACTCAAAAAGAATTTGACCTAAAGTCATGAAACTTTACAGGAATGTTGATCAGCATATGTAGTTGTGCACCTGGGTATTTTCGTGTGGATATTTTTAGTATTTTCAGAGTTATTGCCCTTGACTTAGTAAAATTTCGCAATTTTCAACATGTGTCGCACGTAAGTATTTGACCTAGAGTCATGTAACGTTACAGAAATATTGATCAGCATGTGCAGTTGTGCACCAGGTATTTTCGTCTGGATTTATTTTGTATTTTTAGAGTTATTGCCCTTCACTTAGAATTTTTTTGCAATTTTTCAACTTGGATTTGACATAGTCATTAAACCTTAAGGGCAGGTTGCTCAGCATATTTTAAATTTGCACCTGGGGTTTTGCTTGTGGATTTATCAAATATTTGTAGAGTTATTTCCCTTGACTTAGTAAAAAGATTGAGATAACAGTGGCGCGGTGGGGGCACCCGTGTCCTATGGACACATTTCTAGTTATTAGATATTTTTTTATCATTTTTTAAATTTTTAATCACGTGGTATTAGATTCTCCATTCATTCTGGTTGACATAGCATAGAACAGACGGTGAACGGGTAGAAATGGTCAATTCTTGTTAATATGTCGACGTTAGAAAACCATTAAATATAAGAAAGTTAAAACGCCGGATACAGATTGGAAAACTAGCTGAAATTAAAGCAGGGTGCAAATCAAACTCCTCACAGTGATTACCTCTCTTTACAGATTGTAATCACTGCCTTCGCAGACGTCACATGATGATGAAAGTCACATGACGTAACGTCGAAATTCAAATTTAAATATCGACCGTCTTTACATAGAAAATCAAACGTCATTTTTCTATTTCTGTTTTATTTTTAACTTTTCACACCTACGTTCGTTATAGTTTATCAAAGAAATATCAAAAGTATACAAAATAATGAAAAATAAATTCAAAAGCTAAAAAATATAAAATATCAGAAATTCTGATATATCGGACCGTAATGGTATCTTTACTGATAATGGGAGATCACTGCGTAGGAGATTGGGTGCAAATTTGTATAACTATTGACGTTATAAAATTAGCAAATTAGCACGAAAAGGCCGATGAAGTGTTACAAAGCAAAAGCACTTTTTCATAATAGTACAATGGAAGGGTACTACGTCCCTCCCATTCATCAATAAGAAATCATTGCAACGTTACATTTCCTTAAGAAAATCTCTTTATAAAGGATTCAAATCAATCATTATAAAATATGTTTAATTTTAATATTGCTAAGTAAAGTAGTTTAAAAAGTTTAAATGTGGGTTCGAATCCCGACAGGGACTTTGGATTCTTTAATGTTATGAAACTATCCAACTAGCTTACTGAACGTCGGTGGTTCTACTCAGGTGCCAGTTTGTGACAGAAATAATGCACGAAACGGCACGTACATGAGGTCTACTTCCACCAGTAAAGCTGGAACGTCGCCATATGACCTATACTGTGTCGGTGTGACGTAAAACACAATCAAATAAAAAAAAAACAAACAATATCTTGAAAATTTCTATTCTTTAACTATAGAAAGAAAATGAA